CGACTTTTGGACTTCAGACATTGCAACGAGGGATTATTTGGGACTCGTGACAAAGACTTGGTGTTGACGACATTCCCATCTCTCTCCCTCCTTTCTTCTGATCCCCTCCTCTTCGTCTGTGTATGTCTGGACCTGGCGCTTCCTCCCTGTGTACAGCGCCAGGCTCCTTCACACCTTGTGATGGGTACGATGTATGTATGGTCTGCATCCAAACATTGATTGGTCTAGCTTTCTGCTTCACTATCTTGCACTACGTGAATGAGGCCAGTCCCGTTCAGGCCAGGACTTGTATCTAAGTCTTCCCCTACGCTATTCAGCACCCTTTTGTATGTACGAGAATGCACATTGCTTGTCGAGATTCTACTTGCACTGCATTGTGCTTTCAGTCCTTTTTATCACATTGCGGATCCTCGGTTTCTATGTACATCGCCCAACTGGACATGTAACACAGGCCCTGGGCCGGATACACAACATGGACCGAACAAAGGCTGAGGGCAGTTGGGCGCTGGTAACCACCACAGGCCCTGGGCCTGTTTTCTTAGGACTGAAGCTCAGCCTCGTGGGGCCTACCGGAAGCTTTTGGGCTGGGGCCCAGTACTGCATTGCAGCACGCAGCAGCAGGCCACTTCGATATAGGGAAGGGCCTGCCCACGCAATGGACATTCGGGCACTGGCTACATGCTGCGCAAACGCTGGCCAGCGCTCTCGCACTCACGGGCGAGCTGGAAGGAGCAGGCAGCCATAGCCGAGCTGCGCTGCTGTGTGTTGGATGGGGCGCATGGTGCTTCTTCAGTGCATGTGGCATCTGTGAGTTGGGGAACGAGGTTATGAGTGATACGAGAGACATACCTGATACTTGAAGCATACGACATTGGCCGAGATCTGCTCATACTTCGGGGAGCTGTTGACTTCACCAGCGACATTGTAGATAGGCTAGATAGGATCTGCCATTTGTAGTCTGGGCGCCGAGCGCCAGGTAGGATATCAACATTGGTTGTTCGTTGACGATGATGAGCCTATTCCAGCATATGTAAATTATGAGCTTTTGCTGTGCTCTTATTTGGTGGAACTCGTGATGCAATTCTGCTCTTGGTTCGAGGTCATGACTATCTGGTCTGCTGTGTATGATGTTGCTTGGTTTCTGAAGTTCGCTTTCGCTCATTTTCCTTGCACATGGAACACAAACACACACACACACAAAAACAAGTGCGGCGGTGTATATTTCCATGTTCTGGCGTTCGATTCATTCAATTTTGCTCATCCTATCGATGGAAGTATCATGAGGCGGCCGCGACGTTGGGGACTTACCCATTCTCTCTCTCTCTCTCTCTCTCTCTCTCTCTCTCTCTCTCTCTCTCTCTCTCTCTCTCTCTCTCTCTCTCTCT